CCAGTGAGCGGGAACCGGTCTGTATGTGGGATCTGAACCCTCGGCGGGAGCGCCACTGCGCCCCCAAACGGCGCACTGTAGCAGTGCGCCACCAGGCCGGCCCATGAGGCTGTTTTAGATGGTCTGCGTTCAATAACACTGAATCCCGAAGAAAGTCATTCAGCCTCTCTGTACACATGGAGGATCAGTATTCATTTATTTTGGTACTAGTTTGCCTTTAATTCCTAACACTTCCAGTCTTTCCTTTGTCACAGAGAAGGTAGACATTAGGCTCAGACCCTTGACCAGTCACAGGGTCTGCTGAAATATAACATTCATTTTTATTTTCATTCTGTTTGTTTGTATTGGTTACCTAGTGTTAGGAGAATATTTGGCTTCCCCATTTACATAGTGACATAAAATTTCCTCTAAGTAATTTTTAAAAAGTCAATTTAAAGAAAAATTTAAGTAAATGGTATATCGGTGGTGTCCTGATCTGTAAATAAGAATACTGTCCTTGGATTACTGAGGTTTGGAAAACCGTGATGATTTTACTGATTGTAGCAAAAGGTCAGCCCTCATTAACACACACGTCGTCTTGACCTGCTACTCAGTTTTGTCGTGTATCTTTCCTTGTAGAAGGTGGAAGGCCCTTGAAGGCAGCTTACCCTTCCGTGTGTATCCCCACCCCGCCAACAGGATGTGTTAGTCACCAGTGAAGCCCCGGCTCGGGTGCTGCCCCCACCTCCACCAGCGGTCCCCCCATACCTGGCAGCAGTAGGGTGGGAAAGTAGATAGTCTGAGAAGCTGCACACTTATTCTGTCAGTCAAATAAGTGGCCAGCGAGGGGTGAGTTCTTTAAGAGAGCCTGGTCCCATGCTTGGTTCTTGGAGGGGGATGGCATGGGTTCCAGAAGAAAGAGAATGAGGTTTTTGCCCTCTAGGAGTAATATGCCATCACGCTCTGGAGGAAATGATGCGACACACGTACATGCAACAGTGGGGCTGATTGGAAGAAGTATATACAATGTTAAGTTGTGTGGTACTGGCTTTGGATGCTGAAGGAATAATTCAGGAAAGGGGAGAGAAGTGAAGACCAGTTAATCAATGACAGCTTTAGTGATCAGGCAGAAATCGAGGTTAGCCTTAGTGACACATAGGATTCCTTTTTGGCATCTGGTGGTGTGCACAGAGGTGGAGAACATGGCTCTGAAGTCACAGAGATCTGGATTCAGTTTTCATCCCTATCCTCAGGGACTGTGAACATCTAACTTAACCTTTCTGTGTCTGTTTTGATACGGGTAAAATGGGGAAAGTAATCACGCCTACTTCATGGTTTGATTTAAGGATTGATGAAGGTGAGGTAAGTAAACAGCATTGAGCCCCACTACATAGTAAGTGATCGATGATGAGTAGCTATCATTATTAATCAACCATTCCATTTGTTTATGTAGCAAAAATTTATCGCTTGGTTATTATGTGTCAGGGACTGCCAGGCGTCCCATGTCAGTACCTTGAGTGCTGAGTCCCACAGTTTCCACTTAGGTACAAGACACTTAATCATAATCATAATAATAATTGCTATAGTGTTCTGAGTGCCTGTTTGTGCGCCAGGTACTCTGCTGGATGCTTTATTACTATATTACCTTTAATCATTATCCTCATTTTTGTAGAAGCAGGAATTGAAGTACAGAGGTTATAAAAATTGTCCAGGGTCCCATAGAGACTGTCAAGCCTGGGATTTAAATTGTCTCTTCTTTCTTCCTGTTGCAAATTGACTCTTGTTGTTGTCAAGTTGGACTCATTATGTCCAAAACTGAACTTGGTTTCCTCAAACGGGCTTTTTCTCTCAACTTCCCAATCAGAGGTGCCACCATTCTTCTACTTGTCACCCAAATCTGAAAGGCCAGAGACCTCTCCTTCTCCATCAAGCCCCTATGTATGCTAATCAACATGTCTTTAGTTCAAATGCATCTTTTCCTCTCTGTTCCCCCTACCCTGGCCAGGCTCCCACTGACCTAGGCCTTGTTAGTAGTTTTCAGTATGTTCTCCACTGCCCTACACATGGGAGATGAGGTTTACACAATACATTCTTGGACTTCACTGGATTTTGGTAAAACATTGTTAAATTTTCCAAGATGTGAAAGCACAATAATTTGTTATTGCCAAAGCTGTTCTTCAGTGGTAGGAGCTTCCAGTGGGCTCAGTGCAGTGGTACAAATACGTAAGCTGCTGTGAATACAACCTTTCTCTCCCAATCAGTAAAGCAAGCTGAGTGGAAAATAGAGTAGAAAAACACTCTGTTTGGGTTTTAAAGCTTTCCTCTTCAACAAATTTTGCTGGGACAACTGGATAGCCACATGCAATGAAGTTGGACCCCTACCTCATGTGATATACAAAAATTAACTAAAAGCGAATCAATGACCTAAGTATAAGAGCTAAAACTATAAAACCATTGGAAGAAAACAGAAGTAAATCTTCATGAGCTTGGATTTGGCAATGGATTCTTAGATATTACACCCAACAAAAGAAAAACATGGATAAAGTGGGCTTCATCTAAATTAAAAACTTTTGGGCTGGCCACTTAGCTCAGTTGGTTAGAACATGGTGTTGGAACACCAAGGTCAAGGTTTGGATCCCTGTACTGGCCAGCCAACAAAAAAGAAAAGAAAAAATAATTAAAAACTTTTCTACATTAAAAGAGATTATCACGTAAGTGAAAAGACAGCCTACAGAATGGGAAAAAATATTTGCAAATCATTTATCTGATAAGGGTCTAGTATTCATAATATGTAAAGAACTTCTATAGCTCAACAATAAAAAGACAAACCACCCACTTAAAAAATGGGCAAAGTTCGGTTCGCTCACTGGCTGAGCGTGGTGCTGACAACACCAAGTCAAGGGTTAAGATCCCCTTACCGGTCATCTTAGAAAAAAAAAAAAATTAAAAAAAAAAAAATGGGCAAAGTATTGAATAGATATTTCTCCAGAGAAGATACAGAAATGGCCAACAAGCACATGAAAAGATGCTTGACATCATCAGTCATTAGGGAAGTGTAAATCCAAAATGAAATGAGATACCACTTCACACCCACTAGGATGGCTGGAATAATAATAAGGAAAATAAGTATTGGCGAGGATGTGGAAAAATTGGAACCCTCGTACACTGCTGGTGGAATTGTAAATTGTTTCAGAGGCTGTGAGAAACAGTTTGGTGGTTCCTCAGAAAGTTAAACATAGAATTACCATATGACTCAGCAATTCGACTTCTAGATATATACTCAAAAAATTGAAAACAGGTACACAAATATACGTACACAGGTGTTTATAGCAGCACTATTCATGGTAGCCAAAAAGTGGATATGACTCAAATGTCTATCAATGGAAAAATGGGTGAACAGATAGTGGTAGATACATACAATGACATATTATTCAGCCTTGAAAAGGAATGAAGTACTATAATGTGGATGACCCTTGAAAACATTACGATAAGTGAAATAAGCCAGATGTGTCAAATATTGTATGATTCCATTTATATGAAGTTTCAGAATAGGTAAATTCGTAGAGACAAAACAGACTGATAGTTGCTAGGGGTTAGGAAGGGAGAAGAATGGGGAATAATTGTTTAATAGGTACGGAGTTTCCTTTTGGGGTGATCAAAATGTTTTGGAACTAGATAGAGGTGGTGATTATATAACATTGTGAGTATACTAAATACCACTGACTTGTTCACTTTAAAATGGTTAACTTTTATGTGGATTTCATCTCAATAAAAAAAAGTCTACAAAAAAAGTAAAGCTTTCACAAAATTTGGTGCTTTGATTATTAGTAGTAACAGATGCTTGGTAGACACCAGTGTTTCAGGACACTTATCGAGAATTGTTGGCCGGGACCATCTGTCAGGATTACTAGCTGGCTTCTGCTTGCAGTCTCTCCTCTTTGATGAGGGTGGGACCCTAGATCAGGGATCCGTAAGTCAGGTGACTTCAGGGTCCGACTTGTTGGAGTAAATGTTTGAGGTCAGCTGGGTGTAGGGCAGCAGGGAGTAGGGGGGATTAGGTGGCACTGGGCTGTACCTGTACTACCTAAAGGCACTCACATTCAGACAAACTGTCCCGGCTGGTTCTTGCCTAGCCCCTCATTCTGTCATTCCTATTAAGCCATCTGACAAATATCAAACTTTATCTTCCTTACTGCACCCTGCCCCAGCCACGTGGAGGTTTGGGGTGACAGGATTGAACCCCATTGAATATGTAAGGGGAAGGGTTCACTCTGAATCTTCTGCTGACTGGCCACTCAGAAGTGGTCAGGAGCTGGTGGCCGCCTCTGTAGAGGGAATGGTGGGTTTCTTTAGTGTCACTTTCTCAGAAATTTGAGTGCCTACTTGTCTGTTTTCTCTGCCAGAGGAGAGGGCAGAGAGGCAAGGAAGAGTCTGGGAAGATTTTTAATAGGCGAGATGGAGAAAGGTTTTTTTGTTTTTAAATCTGCCCAAGTGTCCAGAGGCCTACACCTGCTCAAGATGCTGGAACCTTGGGCTGGGGAGGGGTGTGTCAGGGGAGTGGGGGAGAGGGTGTGGAGGAAGGAGGCTTAGTCCATTAGCTCTGGGAGTGGCTGGTGCTGTTTTCCTTTGTGTCTCCAGCTCTATTATTGCTAGTAATCCCTCTTTACTGCTAGGATGGAGCGATCTTTGGTCCACATTCTTTCAATATTTAACAATTGAGTGCACATTTGGGAAGGGGCATACTAAGAGGAGTATAGCTGTGTGAGTTAAGGGACCTGCGCATGACCCCTGTCCTAAAATTTCCACCCCCACACCTCAAAAGAAAAACCCTCATGGTACCCAAAGTACCAGTCTTGCAGATTCCTTTCTTTAGATATTGGAAGAGTTTGAGCTCTCAGAGAATCTTCTACAGCAAATCCCTCTAAGAGAGGTAAAAATGAAGCTTTGTTTCACCCAGTGGGGGTGAATGGAGAACCAACTGAGGGAGGGTGAAGCCTAATGGGAAGACCTGTGGGGTGACCCAGCACACGCAGGGCTGAGAATGAATCTGCGTTTTTCGCTGTTTACCTAGATAGAGCTGGCACGGATAGCTGGCTGGTGGAATGGAGTTAACCTTTTTTCTAGTTGTTAATCTGTCTTCAGTAGATACTTCTTCCTGCACTCCCCATTTCCACTTGAATGGCAGGGATGAGGAGAGAATCTTTCTTCCTTCTCTGAAATCCCACGTACAGAGCTCTGAATTCCAGGTGACTCATGTCTGGCCACAAGAGGTTGTGCTTGCACAGGGCCTTTGGATCCATCCCACTTGTGAGAATGTGGGCTAGGATTCCACATACCCGAGGAGCTAGCTAGCTGCCCACTCAGGCAGAGTCCCTTGGCTTAGCTTATAGCACTTCAGTTAACTACTGTCTTTGCTCTTTTTAGCAAGATTGGCTTCCACCAGGGCACATTGATCTCTGGGACCACTATTTGGGTGAGGTGGCTGCCCCAGGGAAACTAAGATGACTCCAATACAAAAGTGCATTGGTGTTAGAACTTGGGAGACAGGGCCCAGAGTATAACTGATTCAGTTCCTCCTTCCTGGGACATGTTCACAGAGAGCATTGTGGGTGTGAACGTGTGTGCCGCTGGCATCCCCAACTTGCCAGCCACTTCTCAATGGGTGGGGGTGAGTTGCAGGATTAAGTAGAAATCTCAGAGCCCAGAAGACATGCTATCTTAAGAATTTAGATAAAGTAACATGGAGAGGTTCGTGGATACTGTCCAGACGCTGTCTGAAACCTTGAAAATCTAACTGCACCTCCAGTCCCTGTGATGTGTGAGTGGTTATAACGCACGGGTGCCCTGGTAGACAGGAAGTCCAAGTAGCCATTCCTCAGAAGGGTCAGCTGTGACTGACAGCTCCTCTTTCACAGACTGCGAATGGGTGGTATGGTATGAAGGCTGAGAGAGCAGGCTCTGGAGCCAGGCTGCCTGAGCTTTGGTCCTGGCTTATTAGTTGGGTGACCTTGGGAATTGATTTAATGGTGCTTTATCTCAGTTTCCTCATCTGTAAAATGAAGATGGCCATAGGACCTGCCTTGTAAGGTTGTTAAGAAGATTAGAGATAAGGCCTATAAAATATGTGGCACAAAAATGGATGCAAGCTGGCTGATGAGCTCAGTTGGTTAGAGCGTGGTGCTGATAATATTAAGGTCTGGGGTTCCATCCCTGTGCTGGCCAGGCAAAAAAAGAACCAAACCCCCCCAAAACAAAAATACGAATGCATTGTAGGTGTCTGAAAAATGATGGCTCCTACCATTGATCCACGGTAGCTGAATGGTGGGGCTTGCAGGAGAGGCCAGGAAGATGGCAGGAGCATTCTGTATTCAGCGGTTTCCCTGTGTTTAATGCACTCTGGTTTCTTCTGTATTCCTTTCCTTGCCCAGTATTGATCCTCCAGAAGGTGGAGAATGGAGACCTGAGCAACAAGATTCTGAAGATCACTGATTTTGGCCTGGCTCGGGAATGGCACCGAACCACCAAGATGAGTGCGGCAGGCACATATGCTTGGATGGCACCTGAAGTCATTCGCGCCTCCATGTTTTCCAAAGGCAGTGATGTGTGGAGGTAAGGTCTAGAGGTGCAGGGACAGTGCTCCCCAGGTCTATTGTGCCTACACACATGCTTCAGGACTCTGAGAACTGAGAGTACATAGAATCCCAGGCACCATAAGTAGGTCTAAGGGATCCCCTCAGTGCAATCCATGTTAATTCCTACATTGCCAGGGGACATTTTCCAATGCTTTATCTACCAGAAAATCCCTCCAGTGCTGTGGTAAGTGCCACCTCTATGCAGGTCCCTTTGTGTTAGTGATTGCTCCCTAGGAAAGGCCAATAGATTCCAGGGGTAACGTTACTCCCATCTCTGACCTGTAGGATGGTGGGGGCACTCAGTCCCTCCTGGAGACCTTCCCCAGATCAGCCTGGCTTGCTCAGAACAGTGCTAGGCTTTAGTGGCTGTTACTGCTGGACTTGGGAAAGCAGTTAACCCAGTATCCTCTCTGTAAACTCCTGAGCTGATGAGTATTCTTTGTGCTATCTCTTTTTTTCTTGGTGGCCTGGAAATTATCCTTTCCAGTTACCCAGTTAATCTTTTAGTAAGGCTCTGTCTATTGAACATTGATCTAGAAATGAGAAAACAGTGGGTCCCAAGCATGCACCAAGAACTGTGTAATCACAGACTAGACATGACCAACCACCCTCCTAGTGAATATCAGCCCAAGAGGTCACAAGGACATTGATCTAAAAAAATCTCATCCCCATTGAGGAGGATGAGCAACTACAGAGTATACATCCTTATGCCTGTGGGAGTATTACCTTGGTATACAAAAGGAGGGACTGTAGGTTATGATTGTACATAGTGAGTGAAATTATTGCTTCCTGATGTGTTGTAAAGCAAGCTTCTGTGTGTATGTATGTGTGTATGTGTATATGTATATGTGTGTTTTAAAAAATAATAGCTTTATTGAGATTTATTCACATACCATAAATATTACTAGATATGTAATTCCATAGATATTATTCATCCTTTATACACTTTAAAGTGTATAAGTCAATGGTTTTTAGTATATTTACGAAGTTATGCATCGATCGCCATTGTTATTAGTTTCCTAGGGCTGCAAAGGATTTGAATAGACATTTCAAATTACCAGTAACAAATTACCACAAACCTAGTGGCTTAAAGCAACAACAGTTTATTCTTTCATAGTTCTGGAGGCCAGAAGTCTGAAATTGGTGTTGGCAGGACCACACCCTCCAGAGTCTGTAGGGGAGATTCTATTCCAAATAAGGATTCTGGGTTTTAGGACTTGGACATATCATTGTAGGACCACCATTCAGCCCACTACTACCACTATTTCCAGAACATTTTTATTACTCCCGAAATAAACCTCATATTTGTTAGCAGTCATTCCTCAATTCCTGTTCCCTCACAACTATTAACTTACTTTTTGTCTCTGTGGATTTGCCTGTTCTGGACATTTCACATAATGGAATCATACAATATGTGGCCTTTTGTGACTGGCTTCTTTCATTTAGTATAATGGTTTCAAGGTTCACCCACATTGTAGCCTATATCAGAATGTCCTTCCTTTTTTTAGCTTAATAATATTCTATTGTATGGATAGACCACATTTGTTTATCCATTCATCAGTTGATGGACATTTTTTTACCACTTTTTGGATGCTATGAATAATACTGCTGTAGACATGGTGTACAAGCTTGTGCGTGAACATATGTTTCCAGTTCTCTTGGGAATGTACCTAGGTGTGGAATTGCTGAGTCACTTGGTAATTCTGTTTAACTTTTTGAGGGACCACCAAACTTTTTCATCACGGCTACATCATTTTACATTCATTCCCATTAGCAATGTATGAGGGTTCCACTTTCTCTACATCCTTTTAACACTTGTTATTGTCTGTTTTGTTTCGGTTTTTTTAATAGCAATCCTAGTGGGTGTGAAGTGGTATCTCATTGTGGTTTTGATTTGCATTTCCCTAAATAACTAATGAATGATGTTGAGTATCTTTTCATGTGCTCACTGGCCTTTTGTGTATCTTCTCTGGAGAAATGTCTGTTCAAATTCTTTACCTGTTTAAAAATTGAGATATTTTCCTTTTATTGTTGAGTTGAAAGAGTTCTTTATATATTCTGGACACAAGTCCCTTATCAGATATGTGCTTTGCAAATATTTTTTTCCATTCTTTGGATTGTTTTTTTACTTACTTAATGGTGTTTTTAATTTTGATAAAGTTCGGTTTATCTATTTTTTCTTTTGTTGCTTGTGCTTTTGGTGTCATGTCTAAGAAACCACTGCCTAATCCAAGGTCATGAAGATTTATATCTATGTTTTTTCTAAGAGTTTTATAATTGTAGTGCTTATGTTTAGGTCTCTGATCCATTTTGACTTAATTTTTATATGTGGTTTGAGGTAAGGGTCCACCTTTTTTTCTTTCATGTGGCTATTCATTTGTCCCAACACCATTTATTGAAAAGACTATTTTTTTCTTAATGAATTGTCTGCTCATCTTTGTCAAAAATCAATTTAGCAGAAATGTAAGGGCTTATTTCTGGATTCTCAGTTCTACTCGATTGATCTTTTTATCTATTCTTATGCAGGCACCACACTTTCTTGATTACTGTAGCTTGTAGTAAATTTGAAATGAGGAAGTGTGAGTCCTTCGATTTTATTCTTCTTTTTTAAGATTGTTTTGGTCACTGTAAGTCCCTTGCATTTCCTTATGAATCTTAGGATTGTATCCAGAATAGATAAAGAACTTTTTCAACTTAACAATATAAAGAAAATACTCCCAATTTTAAATTTTGTTAATTTCTGAAAAGTAGGTAGCTAGGATTTTGGTAGGAATTGAATCAAATCTGTAGAATTCTTTGAGAACTATTGACATCTTAATAATGTCTTCTAGTCCATGAACATGGGACATCTTTCTACTTAGTTAGGCCTCCTTTAATTTCTTTCAATGATGTTTTGTAGCTTCAGTATGTTGAATCTTATTTCTCCATACATTAATTACAGGGTGAAGTGGCTAATGAAAAGAAATGAGTTTTTGTTTCCTTTAAATATCTGACCTGATCTTGTTAGGTTGAGCTGTATACTGATATTTAACTGTTTTTGATTTATAAAAACAGCAGTTTCATGTTTCAATTTAACACTTTCTTTGACCATATGCTAATGAGATTAATTATCATATTAATTAAGCTAAGCTGCTGTTTTAAAGAGATCTACAGATATGGAGTTTGAATAAGATAGACGTGTATTGGGCCGGCCCGGTGGCACACTGGAGAGTGCGCCACTTGGGAGCGCGGTGGCGCTCCTGCCGAGGGTTCGGATCCCATGTGGAGACCGGTTCCTGCTCACTGGCTGAGCGCGGTGCAGGCGCAACACTGAGGGTTGCGATCCCGTTGCCGGTCCCCGGTACGGGCGCGACACCGAGGGTTGCGATCCCGTTACCGGTCAGTAAAAAAGACAAAAAAGGAAGAAAAAAAAAAAAAATAGATGTGTATTTGTCTTTCAAGGAGTAGTCCAGACAGTCCAGGCTGGCAGGGCAGCTGTGTTCCGTGAGATCATTCAGAAACCCAGGTTCTTTCAGCTTCTTTCAATGCATTGTCTGTGTCTGAATGGTTAAATCCAAGTGATTGTTACTTCTGTATTATAGTCTTCAATAGAGAAAAGAGATCTTATGATTTAAAGGCAAGCAGCTTGTCTTTAATTTGGAGATAGTTCAGAAGTTGTACACATCTCCTCTGAGCGTGCCCCATTGCCTGCACTTGGTTATGTGGGCATACCTGGCTCCAAGGGAGGCAGATAAATGTAGGCTGTAGCTGGACCATTCTGTGCCCAGCTGAAACTCTTATTATGGAAGAAGGAGAAGAGGGGATTTGGGGGGCGATCAGCCACTCGCCACATTCAACTTTCTTTTATCTTTCTTCTCTGTTACATGATTGTTTTCTACTTTCAATATTTCTGCTAGGCTTCTTCTCCCAGCCTGACCTTGAAATTGCTCAGGTTTTATTGTCACAAACTCCAAAGGTTTCTGCTGGTGATGATTTGGACAGAGTTGCCTCAGGTTATCCAGGCACATTCTTAGTGGAAAGGAAAGCAAGAATGCCTAATGTAGAGCTTCTCATGGTGACAGAAATGGTAGGTATGGAAACACAATGTCATTGTAAGGGTTTATCTTCCATGGAAGGAGTAAGGCAGGACCTTTCAACTTTTACCCAGAGTATCCTTGTTCCAAGAGTAACCTGCAGGTCTTGTCCTTCAACTACAGATCCTAAGAGTAGGCTTGAAGACTTCTGGTGAGAGATATCTGATGAAATTACCCTACTCTGTAAAGGGAATAGCTTGGAGGTAAACCCCAATCAGCAGCATTTTAGATGAAGTATCTTGGATATGGTCCCACGTTTAAAATTGTTCCCAGCACTTAAGCTTCCTGATCCAGTTTGGTTGATGAATGTGGTTTGAAAACATAAGTCACCCTGCACCCTTTCAGCTTCCTTAGCTTTCATGCTGGAGGATTTCCTTCAATACACAATTTATCGAACCTATTAAATGGGACTTTAATCCCTCCCTCCTCAAGCCTACCTATCTAAGTGACTCCAAATGATCTCTCACCTTTCCCATAGGAAATTGTGTTCCTAACATTACTTGTACACTGGAAACAATATTTACCACCTGTGAATGCTTAAGGGCTAGCTAGGCTGTATGCTAAATGCTGTACATCTTTCATCTCATTTATTCCTCACAAGAATTCCCAAAAGTAGGTGTTGTTATTCCCATTTTACAGATGAGGTGACTGAGGCTCAGATGGTTTGTCATATGCCTAAGTTCCCCCAGGTAGATATAAAGCTGTAGTTAAAACTAGATATGTGTCACTTGAAAGTCTGTGCTATAGCTGTTACCATCTATATTCTCTGTTCCTGAACTTTGGGCTACCTCTTCCAGGATGATTGGCCTTCCATACCTGGGAGCCAGCAGGATATCCCAGAGAGGGCTGAAGCATGCCTAGGAACTTGGTGCAATGCTGGTTCCCAAATTGACTTGTGATTTGTTTATTCATTTGTTTATTCAAGAAATGTTGAATGCTTACTCTGTGCCAGGTACCAGCCTGAGTCTGAGTCCCCACTTCTCTTCTTCCCTGCTGGAACGCATCCAGGGCCTGAGATCTCTGGGCCTCTGCCATGGCCAGTGCCCAGGGCCAACTGAGTTTGTCTTCCTGTTCCTCGGGTATTGTTCTGCGGGTCTCCTCCACACACGTGATGGAGGATGAGATGATGGTGGCCTGGGTCCTCAGCTACATAAATTACCCAGTCTGCTTGGATTGGGGACTTCCTCAGGAAGAGCAGTTGCTGAAGTCTTTCCCTGTGGTTGTGCTGTGCAGGGGAGCAGTGGTTACAGCCAGAGGGTGTCATCGCAGAAGGACATCTTGCCTATTGTATGTGGAATGAGGTGGAGGCATTTTCTTAATCATTTTAAATTTTTAAAATTACAATAGCAAAACATGTTCCATATATATATATAAAGTATAGATAAACAAAAAAGAAAAGAGAAGAAAAGAAAATTACCCTAAACCCACTCATAGCGATATATTGATATTTTGGTATATTTACTCCTACTCATGTGCTCATCTACCAACCCCTTAAGAGGCGATCATTCTGCTTTGTAAGCTGCTTTTTGAATGAAATGTAGCATGAACACATTGCCAGGTTAGTAGGTATGTTGTTAGGTCAGTAAATAAGTGGAGGACAAGAGTGGCTCTAAGCTAGGAATCTGGTCAGCAGTGCTGAGGGTTCTTAGAGGTCACATGGTAGAAGCTGCCCAGCATGACTGCTCTCTGGATAAGTCACATTAAAGGTTATCAGGAAGTGTATTAATACAATTCTTGATGGTGTTCAAGGCTTACTTTAAAGTAAGAGTAACAGTAACAGCCTGCAGGACCATCTGACCATGCACTGATTCCCATACCCACCCACCAACTCACTATGTATGAATGCCTACTGCATACCAGAGCCTGGGCTAGGCCCTGAGAATGCAAAGATTAAAAACTACTGTCCCCGTCCTTTAGGAAGGAGCCCACAGGCTGCTAAACAAACAGCTAAAATACATACATGGCAGCCCAAACAAGGGCTAAGTAACACCTGGGGATGTCAGGGAAGGCTTCCTAAAGTGTCCGACATTGTTCCCTTCAGCATCCAACTAAAATCCAACTGCTTGTCTAGATAAGTCAAGACCTGCAACTGTCTACCAGGCTTTTTTCCTGTCAAGTTACATAAAGAAAATGATAGTATTTGGAGGCCTCATCATGGTAAGCCACTATCAAAGGAGAGAGACTGGCCAGGCCACTCTGAGTGTCCATATGTGGCCCCTGGATGCCCTGCCACATTGGTTGGCACATTATTCTTTGGAGCCATGCCAGACCACTTGGGATCCTTTTGGGGCAAGCCCCTGCCCTTGACGGCTTGTCTCAGTGCATGCCCCTCCCTGTCTCTGGAGCACTGGCCCCCCTCCTTCATTTAGCAGTGATGAGAGCAGAAGGGCTGTCTTCTGCTATCATCCTTATCTGGCTTAAGTGACCCTCCTTTGTGTCCTCATAGTATCTCTGTGTGACTCATCATTCTATATTCTAGTTGTCTTCTTTTCTATACCTCTCACTAATCTCTTTGTGGATGTCTTTTATCCTGTATCCTAATCCCTGGCATTGAGCTTGATACACAGCACATACTTAGTAGATGTTTAAAATGAAAGAATGGGTAAATGGCAAGAAATTTGAGTTGGATCTTGAGAGATAATTAAAGTTTACCAATCAGAGAAATGGTAGAAGTGCGTTCTAGAGAGGCCATTCACTAGAAGTTGGTCCAGGATCCACCATGATGTACTTCATGTATGCCCTCAGGATGTGTCACTCTATCTACCTAAAACCTTCTCTCCTCATTTGCAAAATGATAATACTTACCTTGCAGGCTTGCTGTAGGGATTCAAGATGATGATTGTAAAGTGCATTAGCACTCTGCACATACAAGGTATTGTGATAAATGGATACTGGGCTTATTGCTATTTTCAAAAATTAATATGATTTTTGTTGCTGGTTGCAGACTACTGATGAGTATTACAAGAAATTTGAGGTTGGTGTTGAAAATATAAGGAGAGCCATTCTTCTGACTGTTGATAGCTTTATGATTTCTTGTCCTGACTTATTCTTAGAAGGATTGGAGGTTTTTGCTTCCAAAACCATGATTTTGCCTGGTTCTGATTGTGAATTGGTAGAATAATTCTTCCTCTAAGTTTTGTTCTTTACATTCTCTGACTCACAGAACATAGGAAGAATTCTTTATGTGGATTTCAAAGGTAGGGCAGGCACAGTGAAGTTCTCACAGCTGACACACTGCTCTGCTTGACCGATGTGGTCTACCCCGGTGAAACTTTTCCCTTTGAGTTAGACAAATGTCTCTGTTAGGGATTGTTGCATGCTGATCTGGGGCAGGAATCTATTCAACCAAGTGGGCAATTAAAGAAATCTTTTACAGGAGCAAACTTTGTTTTGAGTGGTCAGCTCTTTGCTTTCTAAAGCTTAAAAAATGTGTCTGTGTCAGAAGCTGAAGTTCTTTTTTAAAACAGAAAAAAATTGTACTTGTGAGGCTGCCTCTTTTCCCATGTTATTTCATTAATAATGATGACGACAACAACATAGCTGTGGCCATTGAGCACTTATTTAAACCCTCTAGTATTTAATTTAATTTAATTTTGTGATAGCTCTGTGAGACTGGTAGCAGGTGAGGAATTAGAGGCTTGGAGAGATGTAGAACTTGCCCAAGGTCACATAGCTAGGGAATTATGGAACAAGACTTTGAAACCAAGTACGCTTGACTCCAGAGGTTTTGCTTTTAGCTAGTAGGTTTTATTGCTTCTCTCTTATATCGCATTAGTATTGTCTATTTCATTAGTCTCTCTTTGTGTTGGGGCGAATGTGAGATGCTCAGAAAAGCCTCATGAGCTATTTCAGTGAGGTTGTACCAGTGGTTTATTATGTGGCTTCTGTCTCCTTCCTCTCCTTAGCTATGGGGTGTTGCTTTGGGAGCTGCTGACCGGCGAGGTGCCCTTCCGAGGCATTGATGGCTTAGCGGTAGCTTATGGAGTGGCCATGAACAAACTCGCCCTTCCTATTCCTTCCACTTGCCCTGAACCTTTTGCCAAACTCATGGAAGGTAAGTAACCCCTGTCCTGAACAAGACTGGAGACAGTTTGTTTACCTTCTTATGAGCACTTGGTAGATTTTGGCCAATTCTACAAGATCAGTTACTGAAAGAGGAGATAAAATGTTAGTCACCAAGGAGGAATCCTGTGGGCAATGGGAAGACCTACCTCAAAATGATGTCCACACCCAGCTGCAGCAGGTCCCTCTGTCCATCGCCAGTGACTGTAGACGTTAACTTGGTAACTAAAGCCTGCTCTCCAGCACTTCAGTATACAGCCAGGTGCTGCGTAATGGCGTTTTGGTCAATGACGGACCACGTAAATGGTGGTGGTCAGAACAATAATCTGGGTGTGTAGCAGGCTGTACCATCTAGGTTTGTGTAAGTGCACTCAGTGTTCACACAATAACGGAGTCGCCTAACTACATGCTTCTCAGAATGTATTCCAGTCGTTAAGTGATTCATGGATGTATTATTTAACACAAAATAAGAACATACAACAGCTTTTATTTCAGGATCCCTGAGTGTCTTATATATAGAAATGAAGAACATCTGAGAGGAAAGTGACTTTAAAAGTCAGCTAGTGAGAAATCCAGAGCTGAGAGAGGTTAAGTATGGGTGGCCTCTCTATTAGTTAGTGGCTGAGCTGGGGTCAGATAGACTTTTCCTGACTTCCACTCTAATGCTTTGTATCCTCGCCTCCTCATCATTCTATTGAGGTGGGGGAAGGGTAACTTATTTATTTTGGGGAAATTGAGGCACAGGGTGTGGTTACCCATTGTCAGGACTTGAGCCTTGTAGTAACATGGTAAATTATGTTAGCAATACTTTACACAAGAAAAGTCTTTGGGCTTGCTTTTCTTGTACTTAACAGTCATAATTGGGTGAATGCTGCATTTTGTCTTTAGTTTCACTGTTTATGATTGTGGTGGGGGGCAGCTTGCTTTACCTCCTGAGCCCTACTTGGAGATAATTAGAGAGCAGGGGTTATCTAAATTCTAATCTCTGTTTCTGGAGGGAGACATGAGAGGTAGTTTTATGGTCAGTGAGGTCACGTGATATCCTAAGTCTTTTGTTTGCCTCTGTCTGTTCATGCTGTCTGTTTACTCACATGTTCCATTCAGACTGCTGGAATCCTGACCCCCATTCACGACCATCTTTCACGAGTATCCTGGACCAGCTGACTACCATAGAGGAGTCTGGTTTCTTTGAAATGCCCAAGGACTCCTTCCACTGCCTGCAGGATGACTGGAAACATGAGATTCAGGAGATGTTTGACCAACTCAGGGCCAAAGAAAAGGTAAAAAAAAAAAAAAAGAAAATTAAAAAGAGAAAAAAAGGCATGCATTGGATTAGTGGACCCCACTGGGGCCACTGGACTGAGTCTGACCGATCACTCTGATTCTGATGTGATTGTCTTCTTGCTTAATATCTACTTAATTGTCCAAACCGGCGGAGGAGCACCACTGGGCATTTACCAGTGGGTGTCTCACCCTGCCAGCTGAGAATATGAGAGGGTTCTAGAAAGATTTTTTGGTTCTACAGTGGACTTCTACAGAAGGCTAACTTGATATAGGGATACTTGGGCATTGAGAGGTGTCCACATAAACTTGGTTAATTTCTTTTTTCTCTTCTCACTCTACACTATAGCGGCTCCATATTATAGCAGCTAAAATTATATATGACTTTATAGTTTCCCACTTTTTTCATTTGAAAAGTCTGATGAGAGCTTTTTATCCTTATAGAAATCTTGTGGCTCCTGCCACCAGTGTGTAGGGCAGATGTTGTCATTTCCATCTCAGAGCTGAGAGTCAGTGACTTGTCTAAAGTCACAGAGCTAGTAAGTGGGAAAGCAGAACCTCGAATCTGCGCCTTCTGATTCCAAAACCTATATTCTTTGTAATATTGTTGTTGTTCCCCTACACAAATGAGTAAAAAATAATTTCTGGGGCTGATTTGAAAAGATTCAGTTCTTTTTATGGAACATAGCAATCCTAAATGCAGTCCTATTTGGCAAGTCAGTGAGCATTCTGCAAGGGAATGAAGTGAGCTTATGATGAATCTTTAGGGACCCTGATGGGTGGACCTGCATTGACCGTTGAACAGAATGGTTACAAGAGAGTGCTCCTATTTATTTTGATTGCCGAATCACTGACTCCTGTTTGCCTTTTTTTTGACTGATGAAATTATAAGGGTACCACCCACTTAGAACAATGAAAGTTGGATTTTGTCAGTAAGTAGTTACTAGGAAAAGTCAAACCCATTCTCATAATAGCTAACATTCGTAGAAAGTGTCCTATGTGCCATGCTCTTATAATTTAAATGAATTGTAATAAGATAATAATAATAAGCTAATGTAACAAGAATTGTCTTACATCTATAATGTCTGTGCTGTTAACTCCATATTATATGTGATGCCCATATTAACTTGCCCAAGACCACATAGTTAATGATGGTGAGCTGGGACCTGAATTCAGGCAGTTTGTTCCAGAGTCCTTGCTCTTAACCACCATACTATGGTGCCTCTCTGTTATAAGACCTGTGGTTTGGCAAGTGAGGGTAAGATGTATAATGAGATTTTTCTCTGGAGAGATTCCTGTTAAGTCATTCTGTATATGGAGGATGTTATTTGCATGCTGTGTAACACAAAAAGGCATTTCACAAGTAGCGTATTTACCACATTTGAGGGTCTTCCAGGACATTGTGTGTATACTCTGCAAATGTGCTGGTTTGCCATGTAATTCAGCTAATTCTTCAGGCTGGCTCAACCTACTGCTTCCAGGTATTGTGAGGATGGATAGTCTCTAGTCTGGGGTTTGAGCTCCCATAAAGAAAGAGGCTTAGACACAAACCATCTCTTAGACAACAGCATGAAGGAGATGAGGACTTGGGAAAGTTGAAATTAGCTTGAATTTTTTAAACTTTTCCATTTAACAGCTAAATCAACCAACCAGGAATAATTTTTATGCATATTCTATGTGTTTTTGTTCTCCTGATGGTGAGAACAAAAGTAGTGGGACAGGAGAACCAAGGATTTGAAGCATCCACAACAGTTAGTTGGTTTGAGGCTTATTTCATCAAAAAAGGAGAAGTTCAAAAGTTCGAGTTCAACTCTCGAGAACTTATGATGAACTATGTTCCCATAAAGGATTGCGTTATGAAATTGTCCTATATCTCCCTATTGTTTCTCATTCATTTTTTTGTTGACTCAATAGTTATTCAACTACTGAGCACCTGCCATGTACCAGGTACTTTTCAAGGTGCTAATCCTCTTGTCATTTCTCTCCTTTCTATCACTTTTATGGCTAATTTGACATGCTCTTGGGTATGAATGAAAAGTTCGTAACATCAGAATATTTTATCCATACCTTGTCTCTGTTCTCTCTTCTGCTCTCTCCCTGTTGCTCAGCTTCCCCCCTATGTGTTTGCATGCATTTTTCTAGCTCCTGGTTCTCATTCTATACTATTTTGTTTTGGCCCAGAATAACTTCTCATAGTGCAGTATTTCACTGAGAAATTAAGTTTCGACCACAGAAATGTTGCTGTGGCTACTTTATTGAAGAAGTGTCCTGCTTTTTAGATGTGGTTCTCTCAGGTTATTGACATTAAGGCTTCTTAAGTTTTAGTTCTCCACCTGCACCCCACTTCAGCCGTAGGCCCAGGGTAACCACTGTTAACAGTTTGGATTCCAGATTTTTTTTTAATTTTTTTTTTTAAAAAAGATGACCGGTAAGGGGATCTTAACCCTTGACTTGGTGTTGTCAGCACCACGCTCACCCAGTGAGCGAACCGGCCATCCCTATATGGGATCCGAACCCCGGGCCTTGGTGTTATCAGCACCGCACTCTACCGAGTGAGCCACGGGCCGGCCCAGGATTCCAGATTTTAAAATAGTGTATACATGCTTTGTTTTCCTTCCTATTTTCTCTTCTGTTTTCCTTTTTTTTTTAAAAGATGACCCGTAAGGGGATCTTAACCCTTGACTTGGTGTTGTCAGCACCACACTCTCCTAAGTGAGCTAACCGGCCATCCCTATACAGGGATCCGAACCTGTGGCCTTGGTGTTATCAGCACCACACTCTCCCAAGTGAGCCACGGGTCGGCCCTTTCTCTTCTATTTCTGATTCCATATCCCCCATCCTCTGCCCAGAATCTCAGTGCTGGGCTCATTTATAAATTCACACAGGAGGGAAAGAGGAGGCAGGGAAGAGGTTCTGCCCACCTGCTGTAGCTCTCACCTCCATTCTCAGGGCAAGATAAAAGGAACTTTTCTTGAGTCACAATATGGGATTCCAAATGGGGCCCTCTGGCTTTCTGGTTTCAACTCTCCCCCGAGCAGTGTGAGTGGCTGTCCTCAAGATGCTGCAGAGGCATGGGCTGCTCTGGGTGACATCTTCTGTGTTCATTGAGCAGTTAGTTTCAGGGGTGTATGACAGAACAGCAGGCAAGTTTGGTTCTAGAGCAAGCACCTAGCAAGGACCTCAGGAAATGCTCTTTCTCCTTGCTGTGCTCCCACAATCCTTCCAGAGCTGATCATTGTCCTTTAAGATAAGGTGAGAATTGAAGCCACTTGCCTCAGTGGATTCATTCAGAAGGGAACAAAGATTTAGATGACATGCTTCACATACCTTGCAAACTGCCACCCTGGAAGTATATTTATTTTTATTTGAATATTAGATGTTGCCTGGAGGGTGATTCATTTACTGGACACATTTTGAGCTAGATCATGCTAAGTTGGCTCTGATTTTTTAAAAAATCCTTTATGTAATAGAAAAAATTAAATAGAACCAAATCTGTAAAATTCAAATACATGATTATATTTTGTATCCAAAACCCTAAGGCTGGCCAGTTAGTTCACATGATTAGAGCATGGTGCTGATAACACCAAAGTCCAGGGTTCAATTTCTGTACCAGCCAGCCACCAAAAAACAAAAAAATATAACAACCAAAACACTATGTTTTTCAATCACAAGCAATTTTAATCAAGAATTAAGGAGCACTAGAAACCTCCAGCCCACTTCTCTGGGGCTTGGCTGTAGCTTTAGCTTCTCTGGCTTTGTCTGCATTATGACTGTTCTGAGCCTTCCTTTTTCCACCATTCAAGGTGGTCAGGTGTTCATTTACCAGCTGACTCTCCACCCAGCATCCTAGGTGTCTTAGACCTTTTTTGTTGCTTATAACAAAATACATGGAACTTGGTGATTTATAAAGAAAAATGACATTTATTGCTTACAGTTTCTGAGGCTGGGAAGTCCAAAGTCCATCTGGTGGTGGTGACAGTGACTCAGGGGTCTCACATTGCAAGATGGTGGAAGCAGAGAGAGCAGAGGGAGAGGGAAAGACAAATTCTCCTCTTGTTTTAAAGCCCTTGGAACCACACCCCTGACCACCATTTTTAATCCATTCACTACTTCAGGTCCTATAGTCTAATCACCTCTTCAAGGCTCCACCTTTCAATGACCGTAATAGGATTTCCCACCCTCTTAACAGTCACAGTGGGGGCTAAGTTTCTAATACGTAGAACTTGTGGGGACACAATTCAAGCTTCAAGGAGTTTTGGGGGGACATAATTCAATCCACTACACTAGGAGAGCTGTCCAGGCTGTCAGGAG